ATAACAAGCTATAGAGCTGGATGAACACAGCAGGCCAAGCAGCATCAGAGGAGCAGGAAAGCTGACGTTTCGGGTCTGGACCCTTCAGAAATGGGGGAGGTGAAGGGGTTCTGAAATAAGTAGAGAAAGAGGGGGAGGCGGATGGAAGATGGATAAAGGAGCAGGTAAGTGGAGAGGAGACGGACAGATCAAGGAGGCGGGGATGGAGCCAGTAAAGGTGAGTGTGGGTGGGGGTTGGTCAGTCAGGGGAAGACGGACAGGTCAAGGAGGCGGGGATGAGGCTGGTAGGTAGGAGGTGGGGGGGGGGGGGGGGGTTGAGGTGGGAGGAGTGGATAGGTGGGATAAAGGACAGACAGGTTAGGGAGGCGGGGATGAGCTGGGCTGGTTTTGGGATGCAGTTGGGTACGGGGAGATTTTGAAGTTTGTGAAGTCCACATCAATACCATTGGGCTGCAGGGTTCCCAAGTGAAATCTGAGGTGCTGTTCCTGCAACCTTCGGATGGTATCATTTTGGCACTGGAGGAGGCCCAGGAAGGACATGTCATCCAAGGAGTGGGAGGGGGAATTGAAGTGATTCGTGACAGGGAGGTGCAGTTGTTTGTCGCAAACCGAGCGTAGGTGTCTCACAAAGCGGTCTCCAAGCCTCCGCTTGGTTTCCCCGATGTAGAGGAGGGCACATCTGGAACAGCGGATACAGTATACCACATTAGCAGATCTGCAGGTGAAGATCTGTTTGGTGTGGAAGGTTTTCTTGGGGCCTGGGATGGGGGTGAGGGGGAGGTGTAGGGGCAGGTGTAGCACTTCCTGTGGTTGCAGGGAAAAGTGCCGGGTGTGGTGGGGCTGGTGGGGAGTGTGGAGCGGACAAGGGAGTCACGGAGAGAGTGGTCCCTCCGGAAGGCAGATAAGGGTGGGGAGGGAAAAATGTCTTTGGTAGTGAGGTCAGATTGCAGGTGGCGGAAGTGCCGGGGGATGATGCGTTGGATCCGGAGGTTGATGGGATGGTACGTGAGGATGAGGGGGATTCTGTTGTTGTTGTTGTTGTGGTGTGTGTGTGTGTGTGTGTGTGTGGGGGTGGGGTGGGGGGGTGGGGGTGGGTGGGGGGGGGGTGGGGGTGTGGGGTGGGGGTGGGGGGGTGTGGGAGATGAGTTGCGGGAGACGCAAAAGATGCGGTCGAGGGCGTTTTCGACCACTGTGGAGGGGAAGTTGCGATCCTTGAAAAATGAGGACATCTGGGATGTCCGGGAGTGGAATGCCTCATCTTGGGAGCAAATGCGGCGGAGGCGAAGGAATTGGGAATAAGGGATGGCATTTTTGCAGGAAGGTGGGTGAGAGGAGGTGTATTCTCGGTAGCTGTGGGAGTCGGTAGGCTTGAAATGGATATCGGTTTCCAGGTGGATGCCACAGATGGAAACAGAGATCCAGGAAGGAGAGAGAGGTATCGGAGATGGTCCAGGTGAACTTAAGATTGGGGTGGAAGGTGTTAGTGAAGTGGATGAACTGTTCGAGCTCCTCACGGGAGCACGAGGCAGCGCCGATACAGTCATCCAGTGTATCATCCACGATACAGTGTAGCTTCGGAAGAGGGATTGTTCCACATATCCTACAAAGAGGCAGGCACAGCTTGGTACCCATGGTCACCCCCTTTGTCTGTAGTAAGTGGGAGGAATTGAAGGAGAAGTTGTTAAAGGTGAGGACGAGTTCAGCTAAGCGGACAAGTGTGTCAGTGGAGGGGGACTGATCAGGCCTGCGGGACAGTAAGAAGCGGAGGGCCTTTAGGCCATCTGCATGGGGAATGCAAGTATATAGGGACTGGACATCCATGGTGAAGATGAGGTGTTTAGGACCAGGGAATCGGAACTTTTGGAGGAGGTGGCAGGCGTGGGTGGTGTCACGGATGTAGGTGGGGAGTTCCTGGACCGGGGAGAGAAAATGGAGTCGAGGTAAGTGGAGATAAGTTCGGTGGGGCAGGAGCAGGCGGAGACAATGGGTCGACCAGGGCAGTCGGGTTTGTGGATTTTGGGAAGGAGATAGAAACGGGCAGTGCAGGTTTGGGGAATGATGAGGTTGGAGGCTGTGGGTGGAAGGTCACCTGAAGTGATGAGGTTGTGGATGGTCTGGGAGATGATGTTTTGGTGGTCGGGCGTGGGATCATGATCAAGGGGGCGGTAGGAGGAGGTGTCAGAGAGCTGGCGCCTGGCCTCGGTGATGTAGAGGTCAGTGCGCCATACTACAACTGCTCCACCCGTGTCCATAGGGTTCCTACACTCTTGTTTCTAAGCCCTTGATCTTTGCTGGCTTGATGCCATTTTTTCAATTTCTCCGCTTATTTGTTTTGCTCCCACTCATTTATTTCCTGCTTCAGGCTTCATGGCAAGCTTTGAGTGATGACGAGTTCAGGCTTGATGTGCCATGCACAGCTGAATAGTTTGTCACTGAAATAAAACCGAGAACTCTGGATGCTGGAAATCTGAAACAAATAGAGAAATTGCTGGCATAACTCAGCAGGTCTGAAAGCATCTATGGGAAGAAAGCAGAGTTAATGTTTTTAAGTCCAGTGACTCTTAGTAAGAACTGTTAGCAACTAGGGAAATAGTGGTTTAGGGGTAGATGAGAATGGGTGAATTTGCTACAAGCAATCCATGTCATAACAGGACTGGGTGTGGGGGTGGGTTTAAAAAAAGGATTGCTTTTAGCACAGTCATCCATTCTCACCTACTCCTAGGTCTATTATCATATTATGTGAATTGTTTTCAGTGCAGCTCACCCATTCCCTCTTAGCCTTTGCACTTATTATTGCTTATTCAACTTCTCTTCTATCCTGGCATACTATCCATAATCTCCATGTGCACCTCCCCTTCCATATTTTTCTGCCTTTGTCTCTGTGTGTGTGTCTCTCTCTCTCCCCCCCCTCTCTCTCTCTGTGCCTTTTCTCGCGCTCTCGTGCTCTCTCTCGCGCTCTCGTGCTCTCTCTCGCGC